CCACTCTGTCTCTGGTGAATCCTCTCACCCTCCGCATCTCTGGCCTGTACCCCAGTTCTGTATGAATAAATAAATAAATCTTAAAAAAAAATAGAACTGTGACTGAATAGACTTATAGGGCTTCAGGATGAAAACGTTTTAGAAGGTACAGTACTTTCTTGTGAAGCCTCAGAAAAAAATTTGGAGTAGGAAGGAGATAGATGAGCCTGTCAAACAATATCAGCCTTTTGGCTGTGGTATGAAAATGCCACCTGTAATGGGATGAGATTCATAAAGGCATGTTCTGAAGGTCCACAGAGAGCTTCCTCAGCTGGATCAGAGTCTACCAATGGCGAGTTTGCACAGGGCATTGAATTCCCCGTGATGTATAAATCAAACATGATCTGTGCCCGCCACCAAGGTATTTTGTGCACTCTGATAGGGACATGCAAACCATCTATGTAGACACGTGCCAACTTCCAAACAGGCCTGAACATTGACCTAAACACTGAGTCAGCATCTTTCCCTCTCAGGTCAGCTAAAAAGTGAACTTTCCTGCTGATGCAATTCTAATCAGAAAAGAAAAACAATTTAAAGAAATCTTGGTTCAGCTATAGTCAGCTATAAGTTGTGCAAACCTAAATAACTAAATACTAAAAAAAGGAAGCTGTGTGAGGAAGTCAACATTAATGTGACTCTATTTATAACACCAACTAGAATTAGAGCTCACAGCTGGAGCAAAAAGAAAGAGGGAGCAAAGGTCACTTTCATATAGAGAGGATTTTCTGTGAATGTAGATTGATGGATAGGGCTTTCATGTAGAAATTATAAGTTCATGCTACTGAGGCACAGTGCGCTGGGTTCTTGGGCTCATCATGAATGATTAAATGATCAATAAAACAACAGATATGTCTGACTCTTAGCTGGATACAGGTTGAGTGATTGATCTACTTCCTCATTCCACCAAGGCAAATTTTTTTCCCCAAAGTAGATACACTGCATTCTAAAATACATGTAATGAAAGATACAAGAAAAATGGAAAAGATAAGAGATTTAAGAAAGTTAATGTCATGGATGGGTAGTCAATGCACCAAGTTTCAATTAACACAAAACATCTATCATACAGAGAGGTAATAATGTAGTTTGATTATGTTTTTAAGGCAAATTTAAAGAATTAATTCCATTCTAATACTGAGGTTCATGTCATGAGACTATAGTGACTCAAAAAAGTAATTTATGGCCTTATTACCACACCTGATAGTTCTTTGGTTACTTTTTTGATATGCACTGATATTAATTGATCATGAAGTTTATAAACTCCAATACAGTAAAGATCAAATAGTAGGTGTGGTTCATTTTCTGATTATTCAGTTCATCTCATCTACCCATTTAAAGTTCTTCATGCCGATTATGTAGGCTTAACCTTGTGTCTAGCTTTGATGTACATTATTATGTTTGAGATGTAAATCAATATCACCTTTATTGCCTCATGATGGCACACTTGTATCATTTTTCCTTAAAAAGGTTTTAGAAACTGCCCAAAAACCATAGCAAAAAAGAATGTTGCTTTCTTCTTCTTTGAGTAATTTAGTTATATAAAATAGATTAAAAATATTCTGTGGTCTGCACTTTCTTCCAATATGCTCTGAGTGCACTTCAAAGTATGTAGTTAAACTCTGAAGGCTTGGAGTCTATCCAAGAACATTTGATTTGGGATTGCTTAGTTAGAAGTCTCTTTGTCGAGTTGCCTTTTTGGGAGTTGGTACTAGGAAAAAGATCAAGGCCTGGCTTATGTACCAAGTAGACAGGTAATATATAAAAGTTCAGCTTTTATGAAGCATTCATCTTTAGTTAATATCTGGCAAGAACAAAATAGAATAAAGCCTAACTACAGGCTTTACACATTTTAGGAATTAATTGTGCTTGAGGTCAGTTTTAAAACTGGTCATAAACCATACCAAAAATTGTTTAATTCATGCTTTCTGTTTAAATTCTGAAGAAGAAATTAGATATTTGAATCATATAAATCATTCTTCATGTTGCTTACCTATCTGTATTTCCATGGATGTAGTAATCTGTCATGCACTTAAAATGCAATCTGTCATGTTACTCAGCTAAAAAATGAAATAAGTTAAGAGCAAATGTGTTGAAGTTACAGAGAGTCAGCTTGGCATACAATAAATACTACTGAACCATTAAATAATATCATCATCATCACTCAAAATAGATTTTAAAATTTTAAATGAAAAAACAATGAAACATTAAGGATTGATTCATCATGGAGAAGTACAATTCAAGTACCCTAATTAGCTATTTATTATTTTTATGCAAAAGATGAAATGAGCAACAATCAAAATTAAAGAGAGCTAAACACTGAGTTAGAAGCTGTTAGGTCACCCAAAAAGGACTGAGATGTTGGCACATTGGTAAAAAAGACTAAAAAAGCATGGGAATTGGTAACAGACGGGGACACAGTAATAAGGAAGAAAAGTAATAAGAAATAAGGAAGAGGAGTTTTGGAAAATATCACTGCAGTTTGAAATTTTGTATTAAAATACAACCATGACTCTTCGAAAAGGTCATTCTCCCATAGGGGTCTGTGCGCATGCGCTCGTGCACATCGTGAGCGAGTGTGTTCTTTACTTACCACATACTTTACTGTCTTCATCTGAACCATCGGGACAGTTGGCTTCTCCATCACAGAACAAATCAGTTCTGACACAAGTTAGCCCATCAGCACAAAGTCTTGAGGGAGGTGAGCATTCTACTGAGATATTTTCTTTAAAAAAAAAAAATATATATATATATATATATATATATAGGCTCAACAGCCTACATGGTAGATTTCATTTCCTACCAATGGGGAGTATACAATATTTTGGTATTTATTATGTAGGTACATACTTATGATACTATATTTTAATTTAAAATTAAAAAATAAATATGTACATGAAATTAAATCTTTTCTTCATGAAATGAATAAGGCATTGGTAAAATACCAAAATTCTAAACTTTAGAAAAATATTTCTTTATTGGTGTTAGATATGAATGTTTATTTTGTATATTTTAACTTTGATAAATCAATTACAGTTTGGTATTTGGACCTGAATACTTACCCCTCCGACGGTTATTATACATGTTTGGCGAGACAATTAGAATTTTTATTACAGCATCTGCAGTATCTAATAACCCCTTAATTTTTTTATAAAATTATTCTTTGAAAATATAGTGGCTAAAGTCAAGATTTGCATCCTGCACAGAAAAAACTTGTTAACAAAAACCGTTTTATAGCAAAATAAAGGAATGTCCAGCACAATGCTACATTGATCACAAGGAAAAACCAACTCTTGTTGCATTCATTATGTCTGCGTCTAGTTAGAGCTTGTTAGCAAGAAAGCTGTAAATGACCTCTAAAGGGTTCTCTGTTGCAAGGATCTGATTGATTGGTATTATCCAGATTGTTCTCCCCTAAATCTCTTCTTCCATACAGCTTGTTTAGAGATGACCAAGAAAGGCACTTTATTTTAAAAAATTATCTTGGAACTTTTAGGTGCAATTATAAAATTCTTACACAATTTGGTAAAGATGTATGTTTTTAGATTCCAACTCAAGGTGAGAATGTGAGTCTGTGATTAAAATAATGATGAATTTTAAAAAATCTTTAAGCTCAATAGCATTCTTTATGATTGTTCTTAATCTTAAAACCAGCACTGTACTGCCATCTGCTGGGTTTTAAACATATATTTGATTCTGAAAATTTTCTTTGCTTCATAAAATTATTGGGAAAACAAAACTACTTTTGTCAATATATATTCTGAGGTAAGAATTAGGAGTATGCTTGGATAGCGTTATGTCTTTATAAAGTAAATGAGACTTCTGTAATCAGTCTTCATTAACATGGATGTAAATATATGGGAATTTCATAGATCACCTAAAATATAATATAGGATAGGATAAAAATCAGAGACATTTCCAAATGACAGGACATCTCCACTTAAGAGAATAAGATATTGGCAAAAAATGGAGTTAAGTAAACTCACATGTACCTATAATCAGTGATAGATGTGCAATAGCTCTCAAGGTAGTAACCTTAATTATTGTGTCCCTAACCCATGCAAGACATAACACTTACAATATTTCACAAAGCTCAATAAATAAAACAACAAAAAAGCATTATATATAAACTCTAGAAATGGAAATAGAAGTCTAAGTATTCAGCATTTGAAAGTATAGATTTTGGCATAGAGCTAAGAAGATGCGTAATTTTGGCTCTTCTATTCCCTAGGGACCTGCCATCTCCAGATGGTTCACATCTAATGGGATTGACAATTGAGTTCTGTCGGTTAAGCTTCAGAACTACACTTGCAAGTGACACCAGTGATTTCATCACTGATTATTTAATCATTCCACAGATACTTATTGTCTAGTATCTGTGGCATGGATTATTAAGTGATGAATGAATGAGTAAGACAGTGGCTCCATTCTTGTGGCATTTGGGATTTTGTCAGGGTAGTTATTTTTTAAATAATCAAGGTAATTATTATTTGAAAGGAGTCCTAAAATGAACTATGGGAACACCCAGCACTAGGCCATTGGTTCCCTTCCACATCTTCATGTAAGATTTTACATATGTTGAGAATGCACGAGAAATATGGAATGTTTGCATGCCCCTACAACAGCAGTCCAGTGTATGGAAAACAGGTAATCTAATTTATCTAGTTGGTAGGATGTTTTCAGAATTCCTAAGATGGAGAGAATTTGGTTCCAAATCTAGGACTTTTTAAAACATTTTGTATTATGTTAGAAATGTTTTTCTATAAGCAATCACTGAAAGTTTTTACATGCATATACGTTATGACCTGCCTATGCCTCACTAAGACCATTCTGAAACCATGTAGATAGAGGTGACCAAGTGAGAGGTTGTTCCAATGATCAAGGTGAAACTTAATGAGGGCTGGAAATTTGCACTAGCAAAGGGAATGAGTCATGGACTCAGTTGCTATTTTACAAGTAGAATTGATAAGTTTTAGTGACTAGGTGGACTTTTGAACAAAGAGCTGGGGAAAGAGGGTGCTGAGGAGGGTGCTTATGTTTCTGCAGTAATGAGTTCAATTGTGAATAGTTGTTAGTCTCATTAATAATTATAAGGGATGAATCACTGATTGTTTTGAAGTATTTCTAATTGATGGTGAAATATTAGGTAGTCTGGTATAGGTTATGTTCTAGGTCTCTCTAGATAGTTTAATAAAAATATTTTTTCTCTGTTTGGTCCACAGAGAATTTTCTCATATTAAAACCAATATGGGAAATACATATTTTATTCCTTAATAACAATAGTTGTCTCTTGTAATCTCATGATCTATGACATCTGGATTAATCTATGGGGATTTAGTAAGAAGGGAATTAAAAATTCTACCTAAAGAGGCCGTCCCTGGTGGCGCAGCGGGTTAAAGCACAGCACTGAGAATCTAAAACCGCTTCCGCATGAGTTCGATTCCCGCCTGCCCTGGAGGTGACCACATGGCGTGGCAGACCTCTCCTGACCCGCCCGCTGCTCCCCTCAGCAGTGTACTTCGTCGATCTGCCTGTTCTGTTTCCCACTCTGTCTCTGGTGAAGCCTCTCGCCGCCCCTGAGCTTCTGGCCTGTACCCCAGTTCTGTATGTACAAATAAATAAGTCTTTAAAAAAAAAAAAATTCTACCTAAAGAAATGTGCACCAGAAAATATTAGTTGATTCTGTTTTTTTAGAAGCTAATTGAATTGCCTTAATAATAATTACTGTTATTTTGAGTAGGAAAAAGACATGCACATATTTTTATATCTATGACATTTTATTTTCAGGATACTATTTTTGGGGATTTTATGAATACTCACCAGTAAATGATCATCATTGAAATTGTGCAAGTGGAAAATTTTAATAATCAACTTATATTTGTGTCATGAAAGACTCAGTATAAACTCAAATGTAGTTACTTTAGAGAGTTCTAAAGTCACAATTATTTCCAGAGACGCGGGTCTGTTCTGCTCTCCACTCTGTCTCTGGCTAATCCTTTCACCCCTGACCCACACCTCTGGCCTAACCCCACTAATTCTATGCAAAAACAAATAAAGAATCTCCTGCACCTACTTTGTGAGGTCTTGTGCTAAGCACTGTGGAGAATAAAAAGACTAATCCATTATTATTATTTGCTCTATAACACTTACAATAAGTGTTATACACAGATAATAATTTGAAGATGTTTTGGAAAACTAAGATTTTTATTTTTCCTATTTGTTAAACGGGGGTGATGGTGTTTGGTGACCAAAGCTATTTGAGACAAATTAAGCCTACTTACTGGTGGCAGAAGAATCCAAATCCATGCATGTCTGCCTTTAGAACCAAAATTATTTCACTACACTGCATTGGAAAAAGAGACATCTCTTTACAGAAATAATCATTCACAATGATAGAGCAAATTTAATCCATCTAGAAAGAGTGGAGCTGATCAATCCAAATGAATTTACAGTGCAAAGATACTTTCATAGTTCTGACCCTATGTGATAGGCATGTCATAAATTAGAAGAGAGCGTTCCAAAATACATATGTTGTTCTTTCAAATGCAGAGAAAGAAAATTACCTGAAGTCACAATAAACTTGTTGTTAGATAAAGTTCTCCTGTCGCAGTCCTGGGACAATTCAATTGAGGAGCATCACTCTATGCAGCTGCTCTTGGCCCAATTTCATGTTCTTTGCTAAATCAGCTAATTCTTTTTTCGATTCCCATGCCCTTCTGTATAGTGCAATTGTAGCAAGATTGCATTTTGTACAAGATTTAGTAAGCCCGTGATAGTGAAACTTTTGTTTTTGTGCAATCATTGCTCATATGGCAAGCAACAAAGGTCTAGAGAAAGCTACTCTAGAAACCCTTACAGTGTACGAACAATGCCCAGAACAGCCCCTCTTGGCTCTCACCAGCAACTAAGTTATCAATCAGAGTAATGCTCCTTAGTTCCCATCTCTCTCCTCCTGGGTTCCAAATGGGTTAGTAAAACTTTACAGTAATTGGCAACAAAGGCAGTTGAGCAACAGAACATAATCCTCACAGACTTCATACCTGCTATCATATAAAAATTCTCTTTGGCAGGATTTATAATAGTACTAATGCCAGGTATATGATGCATGCATTTGTTGATTTTTCTCAAACTCGTCTTCCAGGCATATAAAAATGAGAATAAACTTAACATCCCTGAAAGGCATATTCATAATAAATTACTGCTTGGAAACTATGGTTTTCAAGCTTAATTGTCTTGTTCTTCTTCATAAATCTATAGTATCTTGCCATAAGAGAGGAATAAATGGGAAAGATGATTAAAGACTCTTGTAGTCCTTGATCCAACAAAAGAAGGAATATGCTATTTTGCCACCTACTTACCTTATGAAAATGCTGTGAGAATTGATTCAAATAATAATAGTCTCAACAAAAATGGATTTTAAAATGGATTTTTTTTTTTTGGTCAAATACATGATCAGATTAAAATGAGCATTGCTATGTACAATTATCTTGTTTTAAACTTAGTTCAGCTTGGAATAGGTTTTTAAAAAGTATCCAGCTGTCTTCTAGATCATAAGAAGGAATGGAGAAGGCCTGTCCTCTTATTGTGCCTGTTATAATATGAGAGGGTCCAGTGATATCCAAATGGTCTCTTTTCATACTTTTTTAAAAAGATTTATTTATTTATTCATACAGAACTGGGGTACAAGCCAGAGGTGCAAGGGTGGTGACAGGCTTCACCAGAGACAGAGAGGGGAGCAGAACAGGCAGATCGTGAAGTATACTGCTGAGAGGAGCAGCGGGTGGGTCAGGAGAGGTCTCCCACGCCATGTGCGTCACCTCAACGGAGGGGATCGAACTTGCCCTGAAGTGGCTGCCGCTAGTTTGCAGTGCTGCGTCCTAACCCTTTGCGCCCTCATGGAGGACCCCAAACGGTCTCTTTTAATCTTCATGACCACAATCCAAAATACATATTTTAATCATTATTTTGCAGATAATAACTATGAAGTTCAAAATAAGTAGGTAGCTGGCCAAAGACCACATGTCAAGTAATTTATATAAATGTGAAAGATGGGACCAACAGTATACTCATCCCATCCCTGTAGTTCACACACAGGAAATGAGGTTTCTTTTCTGTGTTCCAGAAGAGAAAAATGTAGGGTGAGGGAAGTATTTGCCCATGTTCTCTAACCCCTCATCACCATGCCTTCTCAGATAGAGTACACTGCTTTAGCTACTTATATTTTAGCAGATTTGTTTCCCACATAATATGGGAGAAAATTTTAAGTTCAAGGAATCCAATAGTGATTCTTTATACATACAAGTATAAAGCACTTAATGAAAAATTCCTGAATGAGTGAATCCATGGCTTCTTTGGTATTGGATTAGCAACCAGTGGCATGTTGAGAGAGAGCCAACATGTCCAACTTGTGTGGGGGGAAATAATCAAAGGAAAAACTGCTAACATTGAATGAAACTGACTTTCCTTAAAAAAAATTTTTGATGCTAATGATGTCTTTATTAACCATAGATAATGTAACTATCTAATAGAGGAGGGGAGTGATGTCAAATAATCCAGGTTTAGCTTCTAAAGTAATTTTCACTTTTTGTGGTTTAAAGCTAAACCTGTAAGTTTTTGTACTCCAGTTTTCTTATCTATGAAACAGAGTAATATTAACTGCTGTGTTATCAGAAACGTCTCAGAAACTGAAAATGAAATACAAGGAAACTATTTTAATATGATAAAAATAATATTAAAATTGACCTGGAGATGCCAGAGAACTGCTAGTCTATAACAATAGGTGATATTAAGATAATTGCTATTATTTTTATTTATATATTAAATTATTTTAAGTGGTAACTTTGCATTAGAAAACTACATATAATTTAGAAGTATAAATTTACATTGTGGTGTGCATGTCACACCACACCCACCACCAAAGCACCCATAATCCTTCACTCTGGTACACTAGGTTCCCACCTGGTGCCCTACGACCTACCCTTTTCTTTTACTTTCAGTTTCATACTCATGTTAATAGGTCTTTTTTTTGTTGTTGTTCCTTAGAAAAGTTATGTTCATAATACCAGAACATAGCACATTCATGTAAAGAATGAGTATTTGTTCACTAAGTAGTTGTTATATATTACACTGTTTCTTTTATTTTTATCCTTTATATTGGATTTGATAGCACAAAGTAATGTTTATAATTTTCTGAGCATTTGTAGTTATAAAAATGGAGTGAAGAAAATGCTGGACTAAAACAAAGCTATCACTAAGTCTTGGTTCTCCTCTCTAAAGAGTGCAATGCAACACATCTGGAAAGTCATCATTTGATTCTCTAAAGATGCTGGAATAAAGTTGATTTAAATCTTGGACTTATAAATGTAAGACATTAACTCTAGATTGAATATTCATTCAAAGGGCATCTCATTCTATAAGGTTCTCATTTTATCTTTTGTCATGTTGAATACAATTACTTGATTGAGATACCTTTATTAAATTTCCAAAATCTGTTTATTCAATCTGTGGAACTAACCTCTGAAAAAGTTATATTTTCCCATTTACAAAGGTATTTATTCACTATAGCTTCATATATTAATTTATATTTAAAACAGACCTTAGCAATTGTTTTGTGTTAAAACATATTAATATTGAATATAATAAATATATATTAGGACCTAAACTAATAGATTTGTCCTACTTGAATAATCTTCATTATCTTGTTTCTGCAACACTTATATGGCAGTTTCTAAAAGGAATGTGGTAGATAATTGATAATGATAATTAAAAATTAAAGTTAATAATACTTTTTAAATGAAGAAAGTAATATTTTAATTATGGTTTAGTTTTATTCAAAAGTGTACTGTACAAAAAATCCACAGTTCTTATGAGATTTTAAACCAATTTTAAAGTATTATAAATTTGAAAAGTCACATGATAATAATTAATATTAAACTTAAATAAATTTAAGTTTGATGTCATGTCTATGAATATGTTTTAACGCAGTCCAATGAATGAAAATGTACCTTGAACTTGTGAAGCATATTCTTGGGTTGATGTGACATATTCTAATTTAGCTCCATGATGTGATTTTATTGAATAAATGAGCATTTCTTAAAACTACAAAACCCTTTCTCCCTCATAGCTCAATTGTAGGTAGTCATGAAAATGAATTTTATAATGTCTGCCACAGGAAATCTTCAAAACCTGATCTACATTAAAATAACTATAGCAAGGAGACAATTTTCTGGAAGTAACTATGAAAATTAATCATTAAGTCACATTTTTTGAAATGCCTCAAGTACTGACTCGAAGAAAAAAAGCCATTATAAACAAGCTCCCGTTTATCCAAACTAGCTTTGCATTGATCTTTTCATCTGTAATGTGGAGGGGAGAAGATATTCTATATCTATGTAATCCTATATAATAGGATTGATATGAGGAGTAAATGTGTTAATAGGTAAAGCTTAATAACAGTAGCAGTTTTCAGCTCACATGATAACACAAAGACCAAAAACAGGATCTGCTCTAGGAGCTGTGCAGTAGGTAGGGTTTCTACTGTCAGGAGATGAGGCTCCAAACACATTAGCTCTCTTCTCACTGAACATGTAGGAGGTAGCAAGAGACGTAATGAAAGCATACACTGTGATTTGAGGTACTGTCAAGAACAGTCACTGGAGAGTTACAATTTCATATCTACCACGACAAATCAAAAGAAAACAAAACCAAAATCTGCTATAGGATTTTATATATTAATTTGAAGACAATCATACTGGTATCATTTTGTAACAAACTATGTGAATGTTAGTTTTCTTTTATTCTGTTTGATATGAATACTTATATATTGATTAATTTTCTAATATTCACCATTTCTAAATCCCAGCAAGGAATGATACAAAAGGACCCCAAGGTTTCCATATAAAAGACTGTAGTCCTGAATGGGACTAGAAAATTGGTATTGTTCTCAATGAAAATAAACACAAATTGTCAAGGTTGAGCTGAACAGAGGAAAACTAAAATGAAAAATTTGGAATAAGTTAACCAATTATAGACATCTTGGGCCACTATAATTTTTAATGTTCTGTGTCTCTCTGTCCTTAATTTATTCTTATTTTAAAATTATTATTTTTAAAATAAAGTTTAAGGTTTTTTAAATAAGTAATTGGGATGGACCAAACTCATTGCCCTTGTTTCTTCTCTCCTTCTTTTAAATTCTCAAGTAACAATTTGACTCACCACTTAGTTCTAATGTCTCCGGAAAATAATGAGTGTCATTTCCTGTTGGAATGTTCCTGGTCAGAGTATTTTGATGAATGCTAAGCATGTGATAAAATCCAAAAACATTTATGCATTCCAGTATTTTCAGAATATTTTTGATATGTGACATGTCATAAACTTTTTCTCTTTGATAGTTTCCTTTAAATACAGTTTCTTTTGAATTTCTGGTTTCTCATGTAAATGTATTACTTTAGGCAATAAGACCTTTTCCTAAAGTCAAGGGCAATCCTGCTTCTTTCCTGGTATACAGCTAAAATTTTAATTTCATAGCTTAATGATTCAAAGAAATAAAAAAATATTTACAGATACCTGTGATATCAATGCTGTTCATATCAATCTGGAAAGTGGCCAGTTGACTGGATTTATTTGCTTCAATACCGTGTATCAATTCTTCTTTTACATTTTCATTTGATACCCACTGGCCAAAGGAAAGGTCAAATATAACTACAATGCTGCCATTTCTGCAAAGCAAAAGGTGACAAAAAAGGTGAAAGACAGGCTTCTTTTAGTGATTTGTGCTCAGTTCATATAAGATGGCTATGAAATTCTCTTTAGTGTGACTAGAATGATAATCCTCATTCTATTGTGCCAGATATGTTTTTTTTTTTCATATATTTATTTTACAGATAGAAGAAAAATAATAGACAAAATGTTTTCCTAAGAACATAAAGACACACAGAGGATCGATGAATCACAATCTTTTGAGTTATCTTTCTGACAGCACAGATTATAGCAACTAAACCTTTTGGACATGATTATGTCTACATGTGGTAACTACAACTGCCACATCTATCTTGGGGCTATGAGATGAACTTCTTGGCAAGCTAAAGATAGCATAGAAAGAAGGAAAGCATATATGTTTTTTTATTACCTTATTATTGTTATTGTACAGTGAATTAACTGCCACTGAAACATCCAGAATTTTGTGTACAGTCAGATGATAAGCATTTATTATTTAAAGCACTTTCTATAATGTTTTCTGTAAATTATAGATTAAGAAGCCCTAATTGGCATACTGTCAGTTCTCATCTGATTTATTTAAATGAAGTTCCAGAAAAAAGAGATTATTTTTATACCTGATGGTGTTCAACAGTGTCATTTCAGGAATAAGATTGAGGCTCAGAATATAACAAGAAACTTTGCCCAGTCATACAACCTAATGATATCCAAGATAAGAATGAACCCATGAACCTCTGTTTCTCAGATAGGTTTTTATATAGTTCTCATACACCCCCTCGTCCACCACTACTGCTATCAACATCATTATACTACCTTTCAATAGAAAAGTCAGTACAACACTTTTCTCTGGAAGCAGATTTAGTTGCTATAATCTGTGCTGTAAGATAACACTTTTACCTGGTTTTTATTGTCATACATTGTTATCATAACAATATAACCAAGTAAATGAGGAAAATAACTTTAGTTGAGGTTTTTTTAGAGGAAGGGAAAGATATTTCATTCTCTCCCAACATTTGAGAGATAGATTCTTTCCTCTTTCTCCTCCTTTATCTCATCTCCCTCCTTCTTTTCCTTCTTACTTCTCCTTTTGTTCTTTATATTGTTCTTTCTTTTCCCCCCTCTTCTTCCATCTCCTTAATCAGTCTCACTACTCAAATCGTTAAATGGATAGAATTAAATATGACTAAGATGAAGCAAGAGTAAGAAGCATCCATTAATTTTTCTGTTTTCAGTTCCACATCTTTGCTTATGAATTACATGCTACTTTTAACTTTGATTAAATCTATTTTTTTCCTCATTATGTAATTTCTACAAGCTTAATTTTACTGGACACTTGCTTTTATTTCATCTAACTAAGGGAGTGGGAAATATATTTTCAATAGGGAAGTTACGAATCTGGAATATTCCTTCATTGAGTTGAAAGCAACTGGCTTGGCTCATCCTCAGGCATAAAGTATTTTTTTTTATTTAAAAACTGTATTCTCTCATAGCAAGAATATAACGGAACAGGTGAGAAGATAATGATAATGATGAACAGCTATATACCAGAGACATTTTGTGGGGGTGGAGTGGGGGATGGGATCAAAACAATGGGGGGAGCGAAATGCACTGGACTATGGTGATGGCACATGGGTGATTTGGTGATGGGAAACCCAAGGGGATTGCAACTGAGATGGAAAAAGGCACAAAAATATGTAAAAATAAACTAATATAAAAAAAACCCTGTATTTTCTTAGTTGTGAATTGTGTATAACATTTATTAAATTTATACTTTGCAAGGACAGGCACTTCATATCTTATATTCATTTATAGTTGTAGTTTTAAAATTTGTTTTCTTAGTGTAAATGTTGAGATAAGAGAGATGTATAATAGGAATCAAGAAAACCATAATGAACACTGTGTTTTACCTAATAAGAAAGCAAAGCTGTTAAATCAGTGGTTAATAATGATCTCTATTATTGCTGTAGGCTGATTTTGTTTATTAAGGTAAATGAGAGTATTTTTGCAGGAAAAAAATTACAAAACACAAAATAGGTATTTTCGTTTCAGAGTACTTGTTCCAGCAGAATGTCTGAGTCTTTTTTCTTAAGCAGATAAATCCTATCATTGTACAGGGGACCTGTTGTGCAATAAATCAAAAGGTTTCTTATCTCTTATTTTCCTTAATGATATTGATAACCTTTAGAGCTGCTGAGTAAACAAAAGTCTTTCCTTTCCTAACTTTGTGACTCATCTGTGCTCAAAGAGCAAAATAGGCTGCATTTGCCACAAAGGGTAAACAGTACTTAAAAAAAAAAAAATCAACTGCTAAATGCTGTCTGAGACAGACACAAAACAGAATTAACAGAAAATGTGTCTGGAAAAGAACAAGCCATCTGACTGCCCTGCAGAGTGGTTAAACACACAGAACCCACACACACATGCACAAACGCACAAAATACATTTTGGCAGGAGTTAGCATTAAATGATACTTGTAAAAAAAAAAAAAAGAGAGAGAGGGACAGGTGAATGGGTAATTTAAATAACTTTCGCATCAGCAGTGCTATATACTGACAGTATACACAGGCATGTGCAGATGCGTGTCCTGTGAGTTTTATTTTATTTTATTTATTTATTTTTAAAGATTTATTTATTCATACAGAACTGGGGTACAGGCCAGAGATGCGGAGGGTGAGAGGATTCACCAGAGACAGAGTGGAGAGCAGAACAGGCAGATCGACGAAGTACACTGCTGAGGGGATCAGCGGGCGGGTCAGGAGAGGTCTGCAGTGCCACGTGGTCACCTCCGGGGCAGGCGGGAATCAAACTCATGTGGAAATGGCTGAAGCTTCTTAGTGCTGTGCTTTAACCCGCTGCGCCACCAGGGAGGGCCCGTGAGTTTTATTTTTTAAGATCTATTTATTTATGCATACAAAACTGGGGTACAGGCCAGAGGTGCAGGGAGTGAGAGAATTCGCCAGAGAGAGGATAAGGAGCAAAGAGGTAGATGCACAAAATACACTTTTGAGGGGAGCAGCGGGTGAGACAGGAGAGGTCTGCTGTGTCATATGGGTCGCCTCTGGCCTGGGATCAACTCGCACTCAAGTGCTGTGGCTAGCTTGTAGTGTTGCGCTTTAACCCGCTCCACCACCAGGGTGAGTTTAATTAAAATCAGCCACATAAAGGAAAATAAGTATTTTGCTGAAGGGGAGGGTGAGCAGCAAGGAGGGACCCAGTAGATTATGGTGCATTGTGGGTACTCTGGTGACTGGTGTGGTAATGGTCACCTCCATCTGAAGGTGTGAACCAAAGAAGGACAATGTGTTTTTAAAATACATATACATTACTTCAGAGAAAAAAAGATAAGATTTAAAATAGAATGAAGTAACTTAATTCCAGTGGGAGTGGGGAGAGGGTGGAGAGAAGGAAGAAAGGAAGATAGGAAGGAAAGGAGGGAGGGAGGGAGGAGAAAATATATTTGCAAAGGAAGTTTTAGATGCTTTTTGTTGTTGTTGGTTCTTATAGTTGTGTGGATATTAGTTAGCTGAGAACTCAGCTATTTCTGTTTTCTGATTTTATTAACTGGAGTTTAAACTTAAAATAATCTATACAATTATTTAGGAATCTTCACTTTTCCTTTTCAATGGAGTATGTCTGTTATATTATGATTATTTAAAGTAAACCTAAATGTTCTTTGTCTTTTTCTTGCTTCTGAATTCCTTTTTATATCCTCAGCTCAGTTTTCTAAATTACCGACTTGAATTTATCTTACATATGTTTTCATGGGACCCCTGAACATTGAATCCTACAAAAACTCACTTCTGATTGAAAGTAGTTCAGGTGTCAATGTTGAATGTTACTTGAGAATCACAATAAATTCAAATCAAGGTTTTACCACTGTGATCCCTTAGGTAGCTATAAAAGAGGAAAATAACTAATTCAGCAACTCAAATAATTAAATCAAACACTGTGATTTAACTACCTAGAGAATAAAGTTAAAAATCAGGGGGAAAAGGCTACATATTTTCAGCAAGTTTCCCAATCCTATAAAAACAGTTACCCAGCATGTGTAGACAACAAAGGGTCCCCTAACTGGGCACTGTGCTTGTGGGGATTTCACTGGCCAGATCCCGGTAAAGGAGAGACAGGTAGCTGGTAAGTCTCTCCTCAAGGAATTCTAAGACCTTTGAGAACTGAATTGGGGTTTATGTTTTAATGCAAAGGTTCACGGTCAACCGACTGCCAAGTTGGAAGGAAAAGAAATTTGATTCCACACACTTGAAAGTAGATAAATGGCTTAAAGTGTGGCAGAAAGTCTTTAGACATGGTTTTATCTTCACAGAATAAATATTGAATGAATATTTATGAAATGGAACTTTGAGAAAGACAAAAAAATTAACCTTTCTCGAGAGTGGCTACCTCCTTTTAGTCCTGATATTGGGCCAAGATAAGAGGTTATCAGAGTGTCTTAGACATCTTGACTAGAGGTCTCTGTACTGTGGATGGGAATAAGATGGCAGGTGGAGGTAAGGAGGCAGAATAGCAGGGCTCAGTGGAAATTCAGTGTGCTAAAGAATAACACACATAGATCAATAGGCAAGAGAGAAAAAGGGAGGGGGAAAAAGGGAGGAAGGAAGGAAGGAGAGAGGAGAGAAGGGTGGGGGAAAAGAAAAAGAGGAAACAATATTTAACATTTTGATATAAAAGATAAAGTTTTCTTTTAAGGTTTTTCTATTTTCTTCACTGTACCTTACAGTGATGAGGTGTTTTGTTCCAACCGAAAATACCAAGGACCTAAATTTCCTCCATGCATTAAATCATCTTTATTTGACCTGCAATAGTGTCTACGCTTGATTTTGGACTTCACTTTTGTACCTCTGTATGGTTACTGAGAACTAAATTCTCTTTTACTAATATCAAGACTTGTGAAGTTCATATACTAAATATATTTTTTGCCTGTTTTTCTGGTTCATTTATTGCTGATCTGAGATAAGAGATTAACCTTTCCAGAAAGTCAATCTCATTGTGTTTCATTGACCTAAAGTCTTCTCTATGACTCCTATTTGATACAGGTCAAATATCAGACTATTTCTCTACATAATACATGTATTCAAAGCCAGTTCCCTTTATGCGTTTCTGCAGAAAGCATGTTATCCAAAGTTGTTGTTTTTCTTACTTACTATTAATATGAAAGTTTATGCTATGTATTTTCCCCAATCCTCAATAAAATTTAGAATGCCACTCCTGGACACAATGATGCTATTTTATGTTATGGATATTAGCAAAAAGATCAGTAATTGTGATTCTGTGCTTCCTATTAAAAGAAAAAATTCAAGCTATACGCACATAAATTGTAAAACTCTTGAGTTTTTATATACATTCTTCAGTTTACTTGATTGAAAGATCTCATCCAACTGAAAAACAGAAAAGGAACTTTAAGAAGCACATTAAATTTGATTTAAATTTTTGTCTAAAACTTAACCAATGTAATTTTTATGTCCTACTTATAAATAATTGGGAAAACTTCCTTTTCTTTGGTGAAGGTATCCATATATTTTAGCATCATGGGCACATTACATTTATTTATTAAATTTTTAAAGAAAGGAAATGAGAGCCATGTATCTTTTTCTAAGTAATTAGTGAAACTATGTCATGAAATCTTTAGCCAAACAAAATTAAAGCTTCCTACCATTTGCTGAAGGTCAAATGCGAGGACTTTGAACTCCACTGAGAGTTTATCTTGCAAATTAGGGTTATATGTAGCTCCGGATGTTATTTTAAATGTTCCTCTGGCTTCATGACTTTTCCCAAATTCTGCATCTAGATGAATTAATAAGAAATGACACACTAAAAATGCAAATTAATAGTACAGGCTATACACATTCTGGCTAAGACATGGAAGCAAAATCCTTGCTTAACATGCTGGTCTTGCAGTTCTTGCTTTTTCTATGAAGTCTTCATGTTTCATAATCAGGCTTATTTTTAGTTGTCCGTTTGTTTCAAAGATTGAAAAGTAAGCTTCTTCACTATCCAATTAATTTTTTTCCCCTTGTCTTTGAAGGCTAGCCGACACATCAAGCTTCCAGGTTATTTTTATTATTGAGATTTCTTTTGGAAGACACAGGATGAGCAAGTTCCACCAATTATAGGGACCAATTCAGGGAAACATGGTGAGAAATGAACCATTAAAAGTTTTGTAGTTGCTTGCAGATACTTCTTAAACACCTAGCATCCAGGAATACTGCTGGTTTCCTGCATGTGGATTGCTGTGAAGATTTCAGTGTTTGTTGCTTTGAAACATAGCTTTGAAGCTACTTCTTTCATTCTAGTAATTATAAAATTGGCATGTATGACCTTTTCCCTTCTGATGACAGATACCATTATTGTAGCAGTTATTGAGAAAGCTGCGGAAAATATATTATCTCAATAGGACAAAATGTAAAGAAAAAGTTAATAAATTGAATGTAAGTGTCGGTAGTGGAGTGTACCATTAAGACCTGCACGATCCCTTTTTCAGAATATTTTATTTGATATATATTTATATTTAAAATGAATCAGTTCAACTGAAACCTTCATAATGATAATTCGTAATGACAAAGTCATCAATAATTCTAAATGATACATAACTCTTACAGTGACCTGATTTATGAAAATGTTATTTCTTCTTTTCCAAGATGGGCAATAGGAAATCACATTCACTGAGAAAATTTTCCAACATAATAAAGGTCATAAGAGACAAACCTAATATCTGGATTTAGGATTAACCAACTTTAGAACCCAGAATCTGTCACATATTGACACCAAACTTCCCAAGCTCCCAAGAAACTTTAGAAATAACATTACTATTTATTCTGTTTCATTTGCTTTTAAACATTCAAAATTAAATTTAGATTTATATGTTCAAACATGTGGAAGAAAAGGAAAGACTAAAGAAGTCAGAGATTGGAGGTACAGAAATATGATAACTAAATTTTTATAGGAATCTATGATAGATCCTGAATAAATAAAACTAAAACTGGTAACATTTGAGTGAAGCATATGCTTCAGTTAATAGGATTATATTAATGTTCATATTTTGGTTTTGACAATTATACAAAGTGATTGATACTAGTTAAATGTAGAAAGAGGTTATCAAAGAACTCTACAATTTTGCAATGTATTTGCAAGTCTAAATCGATATGATAAATCATGAATTAAAAATATAATTTATGCCCTCTAATGTTCCTTTATAGATTTATCTGAATCCTTTTTTATATTCTTTTGTTCTCTACTAAATCATATTAGTTTTTCTACACATTCCCTATTTTAATTACAGAATTGCCAACTTTTGTATCTTTACTGCACATCAAAGAACCCAATGGACTTCCAAACGATTATACAAAATTGAGTTACTCAATTTAAAAAGACCAAAGCACTTACTTTTCTAAAGGTCTAGGTGAAATTCTATTCAATTATTTTTCCTATAGTCATGTAAGATATATAAAAGTATTCTTTCCCTTAAAATATACTCTTATTAGTAACTGTGTTTACATAATTGTAGGGTTATACTGAAATTATTTTATTAAACTACAATTATTTACATTCACATTTGTTACATTTGATTTAATCCTTACTTATAAATCAGAAGAAAATAGCTAAATCAAAGGCTAACTTTTCTTGATAAAACCCAAATCACTCACATTAAAAAGTTTTAACCTGTGATTTTTCAGCAAGAATTAATAGACCCATTTACTACAATAAATATAAAAAAATGTGAACATTTTCTTAGAAATAAACAAGTGTAATATTCAGGCTATGATGGCAGTTTAAAAAAATATCTATAAACTTTTCAAATGGCAAATAAAAGCACCAGTCCCACAGTTAAGTTATATAATTTGGAATCTTTATTATCTAGCAATGACACAAATTTAAAGAATTAGCAAGTTCCATCTCTGATTACTCACATATACAACAAGGGCAAGAGAAACCACTAACTCACAAGATTGTTTGTATACTCATGTTTGCAGTTTATGACAATGAAATGATACAAGTGACATTTAATAAAGGTAAGAGTTGCTTTGGGCAGATTCCAGGAAATGCCAACTTTAAGTTTGTAGTTGTCCTCTCCAAGTGGACAGAGGGACAGTGCTAATTCAGCTAGCAGCACTGGGTGAGCTTACTTATCTCACATGCACTGAGAGAACATGTAATTTTATTTTATTTATTTTTTTACTGGTTTTGAGGTACCGTTATTTTACATCCTTTATAGAATGTCCACATTCTAGGACTTCCCCCTACAGTCACTGTGGCGATTCCACCATGCATAAAAGTTACCACAAGAGAATATATTTAAAGATCTTTGAAAAAGTATGGTACAGATAACTTAGCTCTGCACAATGGTTATCTTTTTCTTTTTTAATTTTTAAATCACAAATTCACAAGTTGCTACTTAGACACTGTGACATTTCTGTAAGTCTGCATTTGCATCCAAGCTCATTCAAATTTTTGTCCTAGTAAGAGAGTGAAGAAATTATTCTCTAGAAAAAACTATTTTATCTTTAACTTTGCCTAGTTACTAACTTGTGTAGTCAATATCTTAGTATGTTTATAATTTAAATTCTGTCTTAATGAACACACAATGAGATGTACTTTGTCTTATTGTGAAACTAAAAAAGTTGCCTTTAAAAAAAATTTATTTATTTATGCATATTAGAACTGGGGTGTAGCCCAGAGGTATGGGAGGTGAGATGATTCACCAAATACAGTGAAGATCAGAAAAGTTGAATCTATTGAAATACACTGCTGAGGGGAACAGCAGGTGTGACAGGTGACAGGAGAGGTCCGCTGTGCCATTTGGGTCACCTCCCTGGTGAGGGATCAACTCAAGCCTCAGGGGCTATGGATAGTTTGATAGCACTGAAACTTTAACCCCTGTGCCACTAAGGGAGACCCAGAAACTGAGAAACTCGCTGAACATAGTTTATTTTAAAACCTTAAGTCTTTTGCTTGACCTCTCTACATTTCAAAATTTCTGCCAACTAACTTTTTGAATATTCTGTGATGTGGCAGTGAAATATCTCTACCTCGGAATGAACATAAATACCTTGTCATGAAAGCATAACAATGAATATAACTTACCAGTAGGTGACTTATCAGCACCTGAGAACACTTTCACTAGCCAAAGGTGTATAACTTACCTTTTTCTGTTTCCTTGATTGCCAGCAAGGACACTGCAATTAATCCAGCACAAATCACCACCATTATGACAAAGAGAGCTGCAAATATGGCTTCATAGGTACTGAGAAAACAGTACCTGGCAGGTACATTTCTTTTTGGTGTCATTTCTGGCTTTTGAAGGTATAGGAACCTTCAGCACCTGAAGAGAAAAATCTTTCAAGTCTTCAAAATCGGTAAAGCGGCAACATGCAACTACTAGTCTTACTAGTGTGTGTAAATGAGTCAAGTAGTCCTTTTGGTAGCATTATGTCCTATATATTAAAGAGCTCTAACCGGTTAGTTAACTTTTAAGAAGGTGTGAGTTAAGAGTTGTCTAAAGTTGTAAATGTTAATTAGTCTGAACCTATCACATGTCAACATGAATGAAAATACGTGCTGTAAACAAAAATGATACTTTATCATTTTTGAAAACTATTAGGAAATAGGTGAAATTCATGGTAAACAAATTAGTTATTAGGCATGTGACCTAGATGTTTGTGCAGAGTTCCTAACAGATCAACCTCTAACCTCTGACTCAGGTCATTAAGCATTTCTTCTGGTCTACATACATGTTGGCATTCTAAAAATAACATCTATGCATAAATATATAAAAAACTTGACATCAGTGTATATTATACCTGCTTTTCTGTCCTTTTCTGTGTTAGAGAGAGTGTGTATATGTGTGTTTATATCACTCACATTTTGTAGTCTTTATTATACCACCATTATATAATGCAAAGCTAAGGAAGTATTGACTTAATTTAAAGGAAAGTCCACTTAAACAAGATATCATTATGGTTACACCAGGAATGGGTGTAGCTGCTGTGAGAGAAATAATGAATTTGTTTCTGTTTTAAGGATGTATCCTGGGTGGGGAAGGTACTGCTTCTGGACTTTATCTTTTTAAATATGCCAGTTATAAGAAGACAGCAAGTTAAGATAAATTCTTCCTTAACTCCAGGCCTACGCTTTATGGGAATACTGAGATTGCTTTGTGAAAATTAAAGTACAGTTTGTCTTCAGGATGTTCATGCTCTGAATAGCAGGGCATCTAGAATAAAAAAAAAAGAAAAATAGAAAATTTAATCAAATTCATTTGAAATAAATCAATTTACCTTCTATTTTGGTTTAAATAATACTGGCCAGTGATAGGGAAGCCCTAGATAGAGATTGTAATGCACTGAAATTGGGGCATGTTATAGTTGACTGAAATGAGCAATATCCATTTTTTTCTCTCTTCTTTACAATTTAAAAAGAAAACTACATTCTGCACCCCTTGTTAAATTAGATTATAAATGACTGTGTATATTCATAGAATATATTTACATTGTTTAATTGATCAAATTGCATTATTAAGTCCTTTAAAATATACATGGAAGATACCACTTACAAATTTAGGAGAGTTTCTTTTTACTTATATTCCAGATTATTCTAGCAATAAGTCACACCCTCTGAAAAACTGGAGTTTATAAAGTGGCCATTGATTTTGGGGGACCAAAAGGTGGAAGAAACACAATTATATTTTCATTTTATTATTGATACAGAAGCAGTTGCTTTCCAAAAAAACTAGTAGAACTTAAATTGCATTTATTTTGACTTTATATAAGGAAATTAGAGGGTAAAGATAGACTAAATAAAGTTGAAAACCAAAAATTAAACACTTAAGTTTCAGAAATAAAGTCAGCACTCTTGTTATAAATTATCTTCAAATAATGTTTTGAATAATTATAAATCATATACTAAGAATATATGTCTCTTTTAGAAAAGACAATAATATATGAAGAACAAACTGAAATAAAACAACAGGTTAAGATAAAAAAACAAATTATTTTTCTTGAAAATTAAAAAGTTGCTAAAGTAAAATGAATCTCACCTTATCAGATATCAAAACTCAATACAATGCTATAATAATAGAGTGCATGATATTGTTTCAGGAGTAGAAAAATATCTCAGTGGAATATAATAAAGAACCCGCAAACAACTGGATGCACATATGGAAACTTCATTTATCAAAAAGATAGTGTTTTGAGTAGGTGAGGAAAGGGTGTTTATTCAATCAGTGGTGCTGGTGGGCTGGTTATCCATCTCAGGATAAATAAAATTAGATCCTTATTTTATTCCATGAAGGAAAATAAATCTCTAGTAGCCTCAATGTATACTAAACAGTACAGAAACTTAAAAGAAAATATAGAAAGATAGCTTTCTGATATAGATACTTAAGTTTTTCAAAAAGAACTATAAAACCAAAGGTCAAACTAAGAAGGAGAGTACTGATTAACATAGCCAATAGTAACACAGGCCTTTTAAAAAGCCATCAATATCAACAAGAAAGTAAAAATTTAAGACACAGATTAGAATTTTTTATTCTTTTGACTTATTTTGTTTTGCTTTTTTTAACCATATATTTTTTAGTTGAGTCACAGAATTGAGGCCAGGATTGTTAAACAGTTTTAACTATTGCCTTTCAGCTTGCCATGTGTCCCTGGCACAGACCAAGGAAAACAATGGTGGGTGGGAACCTTACAGTTTACAGCGTAAGAGTCATTTCCAGGATCTGTAGAGAATTTCTGCTAATCAATGCACAAAAGACAAACAGTTGGCAATTAACAAAAGCACAAAAGTAAACAATGAGGAAAATTAGAGCTTACAGGTCAGTAGGTACTCAACTTTAGGAGGTGTTCATCTTTAGTAGTAACTATGGAGTTTTCATTATAATTAAAAATGAAATATTATTGTCCTCAAATATACTAACAACAGCAAAAAAATACATCACTGGGATTCATTGTGAGGAAATGACACCAGCTATGCAACTTCTGACAACTGACAAATTCTGGGCAGAAGGGAAAAACTCTGAAAGATCAGAATTTCCATTGCTAACTTATATTACAACCTCCCTTTTCTGTATCAAAATATTCTGAGCAACCACCAGCTTACAACTGGATGGCCTTAGCCTCATAAGGTGGCTGCCTGGCCCAGGCAAGCAGGTGCTGCCCCAGGACAGGAAATTCCTCTTCTCCTGAGTCAAAAGGCAAGACAAAAGGCAAGCCCCAGGAAATATAAGACCCCCCCTCCCCAGGGCACAAAGATTCCTGGAAAGCTTCCTTGGTCTTTTGAAACAAAAAGAAAACCTCAGATAAGACTCCCAGGGTATAAGGACTCATGGACAATTTCCTAACCTTGCTTACATAGGTTTGGCTTAATGAATGACTTATATAACTTCTTAATGTAACCTTTTCTTCAACAATCCCTAACTACTCTCTGCTAGACTTCAGTTAGCCATTAGCTTCTCTGTGGACAATCACTGGTAACTTTGCTAACACAATTTATTCCTTCCCTAAGACCCCTAACAATCCTTTGCTAACAGCTCATCCTTTCCCAGACCCTTTATCCTTTGAGTCATAGTTAAACATCCGTATATACATGAAAGTTATCATAAATGTGTATAATCTGGTATGCCATAAAATATCAGAAAGAGGATGCATTGTTTCCTTCTTCCTTGAGAATTTTTATGCTTCTCAAACTATGCAACATCTGTCGACTGACAAATTCTGGTCAGAAGGGAAAAACTTCTGCCTGGAATTAACTTACCTTATACATTATTGTAATTAACTACTTGCTACACAGTATAAATAAAGATCTACTGAAAAGATGGGCAGGAAGACTTACACCAAACACCGACTCCTGTGTCTTCCTAAGTCCCCTTTCCCCTTTTTTGGAATCTCTGCATGATGATGCAGGATCTCACCTAAAGACCCTGTCCCCTACTGCGTGTTGAAGCAGAGTCCAACAAGGAAAAAATTCAAATAATCACGTTGAAGAGCAGATTGGTAATATTTAATAATACTGAATAAGCCTATAAAATTGGATCCCCAAATTTCTCTTCTAGCTGGAGAAACTCTTGTATATAGACAATGAGACAGTACACACTATAACACCCTTTTAAGCCCCACAAAATGCAGGTGAAACTTGCATCCAATAATAGGAAAGTAAATTGTAGTATCTTTATACAATAAAATATATGCAATTGAAAGGGTGCTATAACTTGGTGCTATGTATATCAACCTAGAATTGATAAATTTTAACATAAACAAATTGCAGAAAGATAAAATTCAGTGCTACACTACTTAAAGTCAAAAAAGAAAATTGTTTAATGAGGCAGTTATGTTACAGGGAAAACCCAATATGAAATGGGTTGACTATAAGTCCTGACCTGTGTGTTTCAAAGGGAATTATAATAAGATTCAACTTCAGGCACACACAAAAATGTTAATAAAGGGTTTATTTACAAAAGAAGGGGGAATGAAAAATGAATAACTCAGAGAGAAAGAAAAGGAGATAAATTAATGAATGTGTCCTATCAGTTCTGCTGAGCTGGGACCCGATGAAAGGTGGCAAATAAGCCAAGAGAGAGAGAGCCCCACAGAGGCCCACATACACCCAATCACCCTCAGGTTATGCATCCAACCACCCCCAGGTCCCAGCAATCCTCCCTTTGGTAATGATGAAACTATGTGATTTGTGGTTTAGGTGTCTTGGATCTCTTTGTTCTGGAGTTTGGGTGGAGTCCATAAAACCTGTGTTTGTGGAGTTCATTCAAGGCATCTTTTCTCCCCAACAGTTATATGTAATAGAGTTACTAGAAAATGATAAATAGAAAATTAATTGTGATGGTTTTGGCTAGGTAGCATAGTGGAAGTGTGGGCTACCACCCAAGAGGGCTTCAATTGCATTTGCACTGTATTCATTCTCTTCAAATTCTTGAAATAAGTTGATGAATCATGCTAACATCGACAGAGCTCTTAGAGCTGGATGGTTAAGACATATGAACTAATATAGCATCCCTACAAAAAACATATACACTCTTATATTCATACACATATGCATAGAACTTTTTACCTTGAGAATTTGTGGAAGTTATAGAAACGCCTCTCTTAACTCACTGAAGATCCATAGTAGAGTAAAACTTTTATTTTAAACACATATTTATAATATTTAACCATGGAACTATAATAGAGAATTATGGGTGTTTCTTGGTGGTAATGTGATAATAATATACATCTGAAGAGGTGTGATCCTGTATCTGCAGCATTTACAGTGTTGTAAACCAAATTTACCTCATTGAAAAA